TTATAGAAAGCCCTGGGTTTCATGGAGGATTAAAACACCAGAGTCAGGAAGGAAACCTGTTTGAGTCAAGATTTGGTGGTTGCCATGTGACTGTGGCAAGTCACGTCACCTCGGAGCCTTCCTTGCCTTGTCTGTAAATACTAAAGCTGCTCATTCATTCATATCCTCAGTAAGGACCAGCTTATGGGAAAAGTGGGATCTTTTTTTTTTTTTGAGACAGAGCCTCAAGCTGTCCCCCTGGGCAGAGTGCCGTGGCATTACAGCTCACAGCAACCTCCAGCTCCTGGGCTCAAGCGAGTCTCCTGCCTCCGCCTCCCAAGTAGCTGGGACCACAGGCGCCCGCCACAATGCCCGGCTGTTTTTTGGTTGCAGCCGTCATTGTTGTTTGGCGGGTCCGGGCTGGGGATTCGAACCCGCCACCTTAGGTGTATGTGGCTGGCGCCTTAGCCGGTTGAGCTATAGGCGTCGAGCCGGAAAAGTGGGATCTTTACAATGAATCAGACTTGGCCTCTGCCCTGGAGAGGCACCCAGGCACCTAGGAGGAGGGAGAAAGCAAACTGTTATTTGCTGAGGGCTTCTGTGTGCCAGGTGCTGGGCAGAGGTCAGTCAGTCTTAGTCCTGTGGGCAGCAGCAAGCGGAGCCGTGTATAGAAATGCCTCAGGTTCACTCCTCTCAGATCATCTGCTCAGGTGCACCCAGGGCCTGGGCAGGAAGCCAAGCAATGGGAGGAGGTCGGCTGTGAGGCCGTAGAGAGGGACAAAGACTTCCCAAACAAGAAGATGCCCGTGCGAAGGGGGCTGTCTGGTGAGGATGTGTGTCCAGCATCACCAGAACATACCCTCTTTAAAGAGAAAGTTAGAAGTTCTGATTTCTACATAAAGTCTCCTGATTTTAAAATGTTAATAATGAATCCAAATTAAAGAAAACTGCCGTGCAAGCCAAAGAACATAACACACACACACACACACACATATCTGGGTTTTGTTTTGGCCGGAGGGTCCTGCACTATGGTGTGGGGATGAGGCAAGAGTCTGAGGAATGGGGCTGGGGGCAGGAGCGGGGGTGGGGGTTGGAGATGACTTCAGAGGATGATGACTTTGGAACTGGGATCTTGAAGGATGAGTAAGTATCCCAAGGGGTTGGGGGAGGCATTCCAGGCAATGGGAACTTCATCAGCAAAGGCCCAGACGCTTGACTGAGATTGGTAACTGGCTGGGCAAGCCTGGAGTTAGAGGAATGGCTGGTGATGTCAGCAAGGCCCAGCAAGCCAGGGTGGTGGGGGGCCCTAGCCCCAGTTGTCCTTAAGGGTATGGTGGCCCCAAGGGGGTTAGAAGCCCCACCCCCAGTTCTTTACCCCTGAGCCACAGGGGTTCTGTAGTACAGGAAGGTGTGGAGGGCCTTGAATGCCTGGTGACAGGCCTAGGGGTTGCAATGAGGCTGTGCTGGAGGCCCCTCTTGCCGGTAAGCTGGGTGGTCAGCACTTTGTGTACAAAGCAACTGGCTCTCACTTCATGTTCTCTGGGGATTTCGCACTCTGTGTGGCCTGGGGTTTGCTACCGCCTTATCCTAAGCCTTCTGGCTTCTATGGATTCAGCCATCTAGCTCTTAGGGAATGCCATGGCCTCCAAAGGAAGGGCTTTTTTTCGGGCTTGTGGTGAGGGGAGGAGGCAGCAGGCACATCTGCCTTCGCCCTTGCCCTTGCTCTGTGACAGGAGCCAGCATGCTCTCCCCTGCCTGACTCCCAGGCCTGCAGAGACTTAGGGACCAATGAGCCAGAGGGAAGTGCTTTGTAAGTTAAGTTGTGAGTATGTTAAATAAGCAACAAGGGAGCATGATACTAGCAGCTGTGTGCCAGGTGTGGTTCTCAGCATTTTGTATATCAGCTCATTTAATTTTCATAACTTTGAAAAGTATATGAAATTTTTCTGTTTTTTACAGGAGGCACTGAGAAGTTAAGTAATTCGCCCAAGATCACAAACTACTAGGTGGTGGGTTTGAAACAAGGAGCCACTGGGCTGTAGTCTGCACATGTAACTGATGGCTCCATTAATCTGGGACTTTAGGTCCATGGATGGGCTGGCAGGGGGTTACGAACACCCACCTTGAAATTACTACATTTTCCAGGAGATGTGTGTGTGCATTTTTTTTTTAATATACTAATCTTCACTCACTGTGAGAAAAAGGCTTTTATTTTTTAGAACAGTTTATGTTTGTGGCATTATTGAGAGAAGGTAAGGAGGTTTCCCATATGCCTTGTGTCCCCCATCCTCTCTGCCCCCCACATCCTGCCTCCCCATTATCACCATACCAGAATGGTACATTTGTCACAATTGTTTGTTGAACCTACATTGACACGTCATTATTGGCCAAAGTCCATAGTTTACATTCTGGTTCATTCTTGGTGCTGTATGTTCTTTGGGTTTGGACAAATGTATGATAATACGTGTCCACCACTGTAGTGTCATAACAGAATCGTTTCACTGCCAAAACATTTCTTTTTGCTCCACTGATTCATCCTCCCAACCCCCAACCTCTGGCAACCATATGTAGTTTTTTTTAAAAATGTGCATATTTTTTATATCTGAAAAATCTTGTCAGACTCCCACAGGGGTCCATGACCCCCAGATGCCTGGGACTCTGTAGATTGCAATGTTAACATGCTAATAGGCTGGTAATGTGCTAGTTGGAGGGCCAGTGACTGCAGTGAGGAGGAGTGGCTGGTAACTGCTCAACTCCTCTTCACTAGGGTTTGGCGGCGGCCAGCGTGGGGAGGGCACCATCAGGACATCGCTGCCTCCCCACCACTGTGCTCCTGTCCTGGCCCCAGGCCAAGGGGTTGAGCTCCGCTGTGTCTGCAGGCTGCCTTATCAGTGGTAAATGGGACACAGAGCACCTTGGGCATAAGCAGGACCGGTCACCTCTGCCTTTCTGGTTCTGCCCAGAACACCTGTACCTTTTTTGCCTTGTTCTCAGCTAGAATTGCAGGGATTCCCTGGGAAGTGCCTCATACCTTTATCTCCAAACTGGGCATGTGCCATTTCTCCTACCCCTGGCCAATCCTTCTTATTCAGGTCAGTTCGGGTGCCATTTCCTCTAGGCAGCCTTTCCAGTCCTCCTTCACCCCCTCCAGAGAGGTTAAGTCCCCCTCTGTTCTCCCACATGCTTTTCCCTTTCCCTACTCCCACACTCATCCTCCTCCCCATCCCCTTGCCTTGTGCATTTTTTCTTGGCTGCTTCTCCTTCCCCAGGGTGTTGATACACAGCGGGGACTAAAACATAGAATATCAGAGCCCCCAGAAATCATCTGCCCTACACCTCCCTCTAAAAGGCAGGAAGCGATGGTAGGGTGTGCTTGAGGTCACACAGTACCTCATAGCAGAGCTGGGACCAGACCTGCTGTCCCAGCCATCTCCTCATTTACCAGGCAAAAGTGGAAAATGAAAATCACCCAGAGATAATCACTGTTAAGGCTTTTTTGTGTTTGATTTCTAGCTTATGTACCAAAATGGTTGACAAAAACATGACCATATGTACCAAGAGTTTTAGAAATGTTTTCTGCTTTAACAATATATATGGTAATGTACTTCTTTGACATATTGTAAATGGCTGCCTAATATCCCATTACATGCTTGCATTATAATTTCTAAAGACAATCCCTTATTATGGGGCATTCACATTATAAACAGCACTGGGGTTTGTATTCTTGTGGGGAAATCTTTACACATTTCTGTGGTAACTATCCCTAGGATGAGTCCCTAGAAGTGCAGCTTTGGGTCTGGGTTCTACTGTACCCACACCAAACACACCGTAAAGTCTTGGGGCTAGGAAGGATTTCAAAGATCTTTACCCCCAAGCTGGGACCTGAGCCTTGAATCTCCCCCTGGCTGTCCCAGCCCAGGCTCTCAAACTTTCCATTCTGGTCCTGGGGAGCTCTTCTCAGTAGCTTCGACTGACAGAAAGGTGTTTTGATAGCTGGGCACTCATTCCCTCTGGCTTAGACTCATGTTTTAGGGAGTTTAGAGGGCCATGCGTGGGCTTGCTGTTTGAGGTGAGGGAGTTGGGGGCTTTGTGTGGAGCACGTGGGTCTTTACTCCCTCCCTCCACTGAGTTGAGGCCAGGCAACCTGGCCTGGGCAGGGGTTGAGGCTGAAACCCAGACTTCTTGCTGTGTAGGGTGAAGAATGCCCAGCGCAGAGAGCCTCTCCACCCATCCCATGACAAGTTGGCAATCCCCAGGCTGGCTGTTTGGTCACGTGCTATCCTGGGCTGCTGTGTACCCCTGTGGGCCTGGACCCCAAGGATGAGAGATGCCTGGTTGCATTAGGGGCTAATAGAACAGCTGCCATTTCTGAATGTTTCTTGTGCCATGCTCCTCCGCCACAGCCCTGTGCTGCAGGGGTGGTGATTGTATAGATGAGCTCACTGCTGCTCAGGAGGTGTGGTGATTCACCTGGGGCCCTCTCTCATAGCCAAGACATGGCTGCCCCACAGCCCTGGCTGTGAATCCTGGCTTGGCTGCTTGTGCTAGAGACTCAGTCTCTTCATCTGTCAGATGGGGCTGCTGGGCTCAGAGGGAGAAATGGATGAGGAAATGAAGGGAAGATAATAAGGACATGGTGTTTGGCAGTGATTTAGATAGAATTCCACCTCCAGCTCTCATGCCTTGCAATTGTTTATTGTCTGTCTTTGTACTTCCTGCTTCTGGATTTTTCTTTGCCTAGTCTTAGACTCTGATAATAGCAACTGTTATTTGTAGATACTGGGTGCTAGGTACTGTTCAAAGTCATTTATAAAGATTGTTTCTATCCAACCTCTTTTGAGATGGCCACTGTTTGTTTGCCACATTTGATAAATGGGGAAACTGAAGCTTAGAGCAGTTGAAGAGCTTGTCTCACATCACGCAGCTGGGTTGGACAGCAGAGCTTGGGTTAGATTTTGTGTGTGTTCAGTTAGTTGATCACACACTGAAGCCACCCTCTGACTCTCCTGTTCTCTCCACAGCCTTAGCCCTGTGGGCCACATGGAGTGAGTGTCATGCGACATCCCAAGGCTTGCCCAGGATCCTCTGGTCCATTGCTCAGACCTCCAAGGAGACCCTGACGCCCTGGGGCACTTCTGCTCTGTACAGGACCACGAGGGGGTTTGCCATGGTGACATAAAGGGGCGCAGAGGAAGGAAGGAGTGTGACCAGCCTGCGGACTGCACCCCTGGCTGGGAGGAAGGGCCAGGGGCCCAGATCCTCCCCTCCCACTGCCCACCAAGGGCCTCACTTCCCAAGTCTCTGTGAATTTCTTGGTCAGTGGACAACTCTCGTGTCTCCTGTGTGGGGCCTTGGGGTACCCAGGGCAGGCTGGGCTCTGGTGGCCGAGGTCTCAGGGCCAGAATGCCTGCCCTGGCGTGCCTCCGGAGGCTGTGTCGGCACGTGTCCCCACAGGCTGTCCTTTTCCTGCTGTTCATCTTCTGTCTGTTCAGCGTTTTTGTCTCGGCCTACTACCTATATGGCTGGAAGCGGGGGCTGGAGCCATCGGCCGATGCCCCTGAGCCTGACTGTGGGGACCCGCCACCCGTGGCCCCGAGTCGCCTACTGCCACTCAAGCCTGTGCAGGCAGTTGCCCCTTCCCGCACGGACCCGTTGGTGCTGGTGTTTGTGGAGAGCCTCTACTCACAACTGGGCCAGGAGGTGGTGGCCATCCTGGAGTCTAGCCGCTTCAAGTATCGAACAGAGATTGCGCCAGGCAAGGGTGACATGCCCACACTCACAGACAAAGGCCGTGGCCGCTTCGCCCTCATCATCTATGAGAACATCCTCAAGTACGTCAACCTGGATGCCTGGAACCGGGAGCTGCTGGACAAGTACTGTGTGGCCTACGGCGTGGGCATCATTGGCTTCTTCAAGGTACACAGGGAGCAGGGTCCCTGAGCAGTTCAGAGCCCCATCTCCACACTCGCAAGTTGAGTGCCTGACTTTTCCCATCTGTGAAATGGGTGTGATTGTAACAGCTACTTCCCTGGGTTGTTGGGAAGGTTATATGTTTGAGTGTGAGCCCACAGTGCCTGGTGCTTAGTGAGCACTTTATAAGTATTAGGGGGACATGGTGGTGGGACTGCCTGCCACACAACCTGGGGTCCAGCATAGTCAAGCCCTTGCCTAAAGGAGGCCTCGGGGATGGATGCAAGGTTGGAGGGGCATGTTCTGCTAGGTGCTCCCAAACCTATCATGGCAGTCCTCCCAAGAAGGGCTTGTATCCTGATTTTGCAGATGAGCAGACCAGTGCTTAGAGGTGTTAGGTTATTAATCTGAGGCTATATAGCCTGCATGTGGGGAAGCTGAGATTTGAACCCAGAGCTAGGCAGTTTGGGCTATCCATCCCATGCTCGTTCCTTCTGGCTAAGGCGGGGTGTGGAGTTTATGCATCTCCTGACCCAGAGCCATTTTGCACTGGAAGAAAAGAAGAGAGATCCCAACTACTAGGTAGTGGGGATGCCGCTCTGGGGTCTTCACTGAAAGGGTGTTGTGGAGAAAGTCTGTCCTCAAGGAGGGGAGGTTGGGAACGGTAGCTGGGAGGGACGCAGAGGCTACGGTCAGAGAATGTCACCGTGAGAGGAAAGCAGGTGCTAGCTGGGACTCCAGTTGGGTGCTGTAGAGGGCATTTGTTCCTTCATTCAACAAATATTTACTGAACACTTTCAGTGTTCCAGGTGCTTTGCTGTGCTCAGCACTGGGGTCAGAGGGGTGATGGTGATGGACAAATTCACTGCTCTTGTGGAGCTGGCATCAATGCAGTGGGAGTGGGCTGGGTGACAGGCAGCGAACAAATAAACATAGATGTGGCAGGTGGTGATTAATGCAAAAAGACACAAAGCAGGGGAAGGGCACAGGGGTACTGGGTGTGGGAGCTAGACACTATTTTTGATAGAACAAGCCAGGGAAGGGTCTTTGTTAAATGACCCAAAGGAAGAAAGGGAAGGAGCCGTGTGACTCTTCCTGCCAAGAACCTTCCAGGCAGAAGAACTAGGGAGTGCACAGGTCCTAAAGCAGCCTCTTGCTTGGCACAAGTGAGGAGAGGATGAGTAGGACATGTGTAGAGGTGGCTGTGCCCACTGTGTGTGCCCACTCATGCTGAACATTCCGGGCTCACTTGTGCACTGGGCCCTGTGTTCAGCACTGGGAGGGGGCTGCTCCAGTGAAGGGTTTCTCCCAGCATGTTCTTTCATGCCTTAATGCAGCAGGATGCTCTGCCGCTGGAAAGGTACTGTGAACCAAGAAACTGAGGGCCCTTAGAAGTCCTGCAATAGAGCAGCCCGTTGAGATTTGTTCCCCAACTGGCTTGATCACAAAACCCTTTCTTTCACAGAGCACCCTCAGGGGAACGCTGGCCTGGTTTATGGCTTCATAGTGGCATCAAGTCAGACTGTCTCATTGTCTGTTTTTCTCTTTTCTCCTGGATTCTATAGTCTTTTCTGCCATGAACTTCATTAAGCTTGGTTCAGAGCCCCAGGCCTGGAAAATGTCAGGATGGCCGACATTTATTGAGTGTTCGTTCGGTGCCGTGCACTATCTACATGCTTTATATGAATTAACTCACTTCATGCCAATAAACTATCCTGCATGGCAGGTGGTTAGCTTCCTGATTAAGAGAGGCAAAGAAATGTGCCTAAGCCCACACCTCTGATAGTATAGATCTGGGCTTTGAACCCAGGCAGTCTGGCTTCAGGGGCCTTAGTCTTTACCACTATGTGATGAGTCCTGGAGCCTCATAACCATTTACTTAAGGGAGGTTGCATTAGAGGCCACACGCAGTGCACAGTGCTCCACAGTGGGCTCTGGTTCCCGGGCACAGTTGGTACAATGAGGATTTGGCCTTTCTAGCCCCTTTTGAACAGGAGGCCCAGGAAGGGTAGGGGCATGCTCAGAGTCTCACTCTGGGGTCAGTGGCTGTTGCAGGACTTTGTCCTCTTTCTACCCTGTTGCATAAGACCCAACCGCTCCTTGGTTTTGAGCATCGGCCTGTGATTTTCTGTTCAAATGCCTGCCTCCTGGCTCGGTACCTGTAGTACAGTGGTTGTGGCACCAGCCATGTACACCAAGGCTGGTGAGTTTGAATCCAGCCTGAGCCAGCTAAACAATGACAACTGCACCAAAAATAAAACAAAATAGCTGGGTGTTGTGGTGGGCACCTGTAGTACCAGCTATTTGGGAGGCTGAGGCAAGAGAATCTCTTAAGCCCAAGAGTTGGAGGTTGCTGTGAGCTGTGACGCCACAGCACTCTACTGAGGGTGACATAGTGAGACTCTGTCAAAAAAAAAAAAAAAAAAAGCCTACCCCTGGCGTTGAAGGCAAATCTTTGGGCTCTTTCTGCAAGATCAGCTCTGGCGCTGTGTATCGGGCTTGCCTAATGGGGGGTGTTTGTGGAATCCAGGGATCTGAAGACTCTTATTTTCTAGTTCTCACTGCCACTAGTTTCCCAGGACAATGTAAGAGCAGGGGCTCAAAAGTCCAGAAAGGTTCAAATCTTCCTGTCACTTAGAAGTAGAGTGACTTTGAGCAGGGTACTCAACCCATCTATCTGTAAGTGGGGCTGGTTGTAACCCCTGCCTGCCTGGGCTGTGTTGAAGATAAGACAGTAGTTGTGAAGCACTAAGCCAGTGCCTGGTACCTGGGACCACTTGAGAGATGGCAGCCATCACATTTTGTCATTTTCTTTTCTTTTTTTTTTTTTTTTGAGACAGAGCCTCAAGCTGTCCCCCTGGGTAGAGTGCTATGGCATCACAGCTCACAGCAACCTCCAATGCTGGGGCTCAAGCGAGTCTCCTGCCTCTGCCTCCCAAGTAGCTGGGACCACAGGCACCCGCCACAATGCCTGGCTATTTTTTTAGTTGTAGCCGTCGTTGTTGTTTGGTGGGCCCAGGCTGGATTTGAACCCGCCACCTTAGGTGTATGTGGCTGGCGCCTTAGCCACTTGAGCCACAGGTGCCGAGCCACATTTTGTCATTTTCAAGGTCAGCAAATGCTGCAGGGGTAGAGCACCTTCTCTGTCTGGTCACCCTGACCAATGTGTGACCCTGTGAGACCCTGAGGGAGGAATTGTGTCATCCTCACCTGGAGCCTCAGTTGTTGGAACTGTCACATATCAACCTTGTAACTCTAGGTGCTCTGGGGCACACCTGGCAGAGGTCTGGCAGAGGTTTAGCAGAGGCTACCTGGCCTCTTTCGTTGAACACTCACTGTGTGCCAGATGCTGAGCTTGTTGCTTTTCAGACACGATTGTGTTTAATTCTCACAACTACCCCAGGAAGGTGGTAGTTTATTTTTTTAGGTAAGTCTCTGAGGCTCAAAAAGTTAAATGGCTTTTCCAGAGTGACATACCTTCTGGCTGAGTACTCCTTATCCAAAATACTTGGGAGCAGGAGAATTTTGGAATGTTTGCATTCTGCTTACCAGTTGAGCGTCCCTAATCTGAAAATCCAAAATCTGAAATGCTCCAGTGGGTGTTTCCTTTGAGCATCATATTAGTGCTTAGAAATTTTGGATTTGGGAGCAATCTGGATTTTGAGATTAGGAGTACTCAACCTATAGTAGGTTGAACTTGTTG